AAAACTTTCTTAAGTAGTCCCTGACCTATCCATCATTCCATTTTATTACTCCCTCTTAGAATATCTGTAAACAGCTTATACTATAGTGACTTGTACTTGTTCTTTTGTTGTGAAATAACTAAGTTGTTTTATCTCCCTTACTCACAAGGTGTAAGCTTCACAGGGGTTTCTTCTGCTTCCTTCATACTTCTCTTTAGAATTGAATATACTAATAGTGTAGAATGGGCCCTCAAATAAGGTTTTTAATTCTCAAAATACAAAATATTAGAAATATTTACCATGGAGAAGTTAACCAGACTACTCAAAACTTTTTCTTTGGGGATATATACAGATGAAATACATATATATTTAATATATTCCCCAGATCCCTAACCAAACTATAGGTGTACTACAAAGCTGAGGTTTCACTGTATAAGTATCCCAGGCAGTAAAAGAACAAGTTGTGATTCAATTAAAAAGGAATTTGTGCAGAAATAAAAATGCATTTAATGTATTAGAGGTTCAATGTCAGTCCAGTAAAAGAAAGTTGTAGAATTTTCATCATGAAACACAAACACACGCTAATAATTAAGCCTCTGTTGTTTACTTGATGATTTCATTGTTCTTTATGGGTTAGGATTGATATATCTTACAATTACAATGACTTTAGAATTACAAAAACAGCAGCAGCAAACAATAAAACATAGTAAGGTCAACCTAAATGATACGTCTTTAAAATATAAAGTAACAATCATTATAATGCTCTCTCTCAACAGAAAAAAAATTCAAAAATGTGTTTCCCATGAAACTACACTCCAGAAATTAAAATTCAAAGTCAACTGATTTCAAAACACAAAGAGAAACAACTCAAACAGCCAAAACCCAGTACACAGTGGCAATCAATAACTGGGTAGTAAAGAAGAAACCCACTAAAGATTATTAAATATAATTGTAATGTTCTCTCAGCTATTTGTATATTTAAATAGCTGAAATTCACTTGTCATTCAAACTACTCAAAGAAGAAAGCTCCTATTCCCTCCTTCTCCTCCTGTGGCTCTATTTCTTCCATTTTCTTCCCTGTCCCCCAATTTTATTATGAAGGTGGAAAAAAGCAATTTTTAAGTATTATAATTCATTTTAGACATAATTTCATAAATATATGCTACCATCTAAAATAACATTATTAGAAGCCCAAAGCTGTCCACTATCCAGAGACCACATTCCCATCCCCCTAACATTCAAATAAGACTCTGTGACAAATTCTCACCAATGAAATGTGGGCAGATGTTTGTCACTTTAAGTCTGGGGATTTTTAAGAAATGGTCTGTAGGTAATAAGCAGGGTTTGGAGGCCTTAGGGTATGGTGGAACAGTAAGATATAAGGAGTCTGGATCCCTCAATTACTACATGAAGGAAAGCTGCAAGCCTGCTAACTAGGATCACCTGGACTATAGTGTTATGTAAAATATAAACTTAGATGTATTAAGCCACTGAAATTTTGGAGTGTGTTTATTACCTAAATTAGCATTACCCAAAGTAATACATGCACAAATTCTTAAGTATTTCAATACCCTCTAATTAAAGCTATTTATAAGGGATATTTTGGAAGGACTGTTTAAAAGCCCATTTAAGTAACATTACATTTTAAAATCTAAACAATTTGCCACTTTGATTTTGATGTAATTCCTTTAGTTTAAACAATGATACCATAAGCAGTTCCAGTTAAAAATAAATTTCACTATCCACATATCTTAATATATCAGTTCAGTATCATCTATTTCCATATACAGATAAATTTTTCCTCAATTCTCCCAAATTAAAAAAGTTTGAAAATACTAGTTTGAAAATACTATATAATTCATACTATCTAGTGAAAACCACCAAATACCTAGTTAACAGCAAAATAATATTTTATTGTTTTTAAAATATTAAAAATTACCATTTATAATTTTTAAGACCTCTTCCTAATAAATAGAATTATATGGTAGATAATTATATTTGTTGTAAACGCAAATATACCCATAATATACTCACTTTAACAAAACCATGATATTATGCATTCTAATAAAGTTGTCCCTACTACCCTTCACAAATTTATTGAAATTTTAGTGCTACTAGGTTTTTTTAAAAGCCTAACTGATTAACTTGGTATTAGTAAATAAAGACATTACAAACTTAAACCAATGAAACTTCTCCCATATTCTCTTCACTCTGCCTTCACCAAAAAAAGAAGAAAACCAAAAAGAAAGAAAGAAAGAAAGAAAGAAAGAAAGAAAGAAAGAAAGAAAGAATTCAATCACATATTTAACCTCTGTTAACTTTGCCTTACACTCCATGTCATTATTTTTTCCACAATACAATTAAAATTAAATGGACAGCACATTTACTACTCCACACGGAGTAATAAAAATGGAAAATTATTGAAAGTTGATAGAGGATTTTTGCTTCCACTCAGGAATATATTCCAAGAGGTTTTGTTTACCAGATTCAGTCAACATAAACTAAAAGAATTACATAGCAATTTTTGTGGCACTTATACTTTGTGGGCCTATATAAAGTAAAATCTAGTTCTTGGATCTTTTTAATGCTTGGTTGCATTGGAACATGTGTATTTTACAAATAGCTTATTTTTTTTCCCCAAGGCTACATAACAAGAACTCAGAAAAAGAGTAACGAAACTGAGAAATGGCCCATTTGAAAATATGAAAAAATATTAAGTATGACTATATAGTCTCTATAAACTAATATACTCAAGTATTTTAGGGACAGTCTTACTTCTAGAAAGAAAATAATTGTAAATACATTTTTAAAAGTTGTTTATATATACCATATGTATAGCAAAGGACTCTGAGATGTTCTATTGCCTTGATTTTTAATCTAGTTGTATAACATTGCTCTCAGTAATTAAATGTGTATTTGTACTTACGTTTTTCAATGCCCAGTCAGGACTGCAGGTGGAGGAACTAATATTTAACTAAGCATCTACTATGTGTCAAACATGTTTTCTTCTTCTATCCTCAGACAACATTATAAATGTATTCTCTTCTTGCAGATAAGAAAACAGAGGTTTATAGACATTAAGTGCCTTTCCTGAGATCAAACAGCTAAGAAAAATGGCACAGGTGGAGTTCTGAGGTCTGTAAAACAAATACTTGTTCCACTAAACTGTGTGTGTTGTTTTTCCAGTAGTGGTTACAGAAAACAACTCTCCACACACACCTTCCTACACACACACACACACACACACACACACACACACACACATTCTTACCCCAGTTTCCCAGTGAACACCATGGAACATTTCTTTGTGAGACCAGGTTCAGAAAGGACCGATCTCTGGCCATAATAAGGGCATGGTCTGCAAGGGTCGAGTCTATATCATGATTTTACCCAGAGGATTTTACATAGTCGGGCTAACTAGATATTGATGGAAAGAGGGTGGAGTCAAGTAAATAAGCAAATAATTATCCAAATACCATTTACACTTAATGCTGAAAGGCACTGCACCCCTATGGGCAGATTTCTCTTTAGAGATGCGTTTTACTTAGACTACTCTCAAAATAGCTTTCCAGGAGGACACTCTGAATAGACAATAGAGGCTGCTGGATCTAGGAAAGTGGTTTGTGCACAACTATCTTGACTGACCATTAAGACAACGAGAGGGAACGAGGTGGTATCTCCTAAAAAGCAGTACAGTGCTTCCAGGGTGTCCACAGGGCTCGGCTGAACTGCCGGGACACAAACGCCTCGACGGAGCCACACCGAAGAGAAGAGCCGGCGGAGTTGAGGATGACAGCTCCAGGAACTTCCTCTTCCCCAGACCGCGGCGCGCGCACGCCTCCCCCCAGGGGGCAGGATAAAACCATTTCAAACGCACAGGATCGATCCAGCCCGCCAGCCCCACGGGACGGGGAGGCCAGCTTCCATTTCTGCCCCCGCCCCTCCAGGAAAAATTGTATCCTCAATAAAAATGCATGCGAAAAACGAACATATCTCCGGAGTCCCTTCACACAGCCCTGAGAAAAGAATGAAAAGAGGGATCTCGACCCCGCGTATCCCCGAGATCAGCTGCTGTGATTCACTTTCCCTCCCGTCCCACCGCCGGCCACGGGGAGAGCCTGCAGTTCCGACGCGGAAATGTGCCTTCGCTCCTCGGGAGCCGCGGAGGCGGCGGAGGCGACATCAGTCAGTACGTCCCGCCTCCGCCCCTCACCTGCCAGGCCCGAGCCGGCGCTCCGGGCCCGCGCAGCCCGGCGTCCCGGGAGGCGGGCGGGCCGGCGGGCGGGCGCCGAGGCGGTTAGGCCGCGCTGCAGGCCGGCGCGCTTCCTGCCGCGGCCGCGAGAGCAGAGGCGCGGCCCCGACCCGCAGCCCTCCGGGCCCGGCTGCTGTACGTGAGCGCACACCCTCGCCCGCCGGCGCCCGGAGCAGCTCTCACCGGCGAGGCCCCGGGGCCCCGGCCACAAAGGAGGAGGGACACGCCACTTGAGGGTCCCGGACGCACGGATCCCCAGAGTCCTGGGCCCGGAGCGAAGACCACCGCCCCCACCCCACCCCCTCCACACACCCGGAACCTTTGACAGAGACCGGGTCGGCCCCACACCCCACACACACCCACTCGCGGCGGCTCCTCGGGCCGCCTCCCCGCCCGCCGAAGTCCCGACTCGCAACCCACACACAGTCTTCTCCCACCTCATCTCCCCGGGGACGCGCTGCTCTTCCCAACACTCCCGATCCTACTCGGAGGCACAGAAACCCTCCACCTCCTCCTCTTCCTCTGGCCCGGGAGGAGCAACAGCAGCCATTTCCCCGCGACAGAGGAAACACACACACAAACACGCGCGCGCGCCAGGCCCCCACGGATGCTTCCCCTCCGCGGCCGCAGACGCAAACACAAACACCCACGGGCGGGCCTCGCTCCCGCCCGCCCCGAAGGGAGGCTGCCGCGGCCGGCAGGGCCCGGGCCCGGGCTCGCGGGCGCGCGAGGCGGGGGCCCGGGGTCGCGAAGGGCCTGCGCCCCCTCCTCACCTGCATTCAGCGCGCCGGGGTCCGGGCGGCGGCGGCGGCGGCGGCGGCGGGGAGACTGGTGCTGGTGCTGCGGCGGCGGGGGAGGCGGTGGCGGCGGTGGCGGCGGGGCTGAGGGCAGCAAAGACATGCAGGCAGCCCGCCGGGGGGGAGAGGCACCGGCCGGAGGGGACGCGGGGCGGGCGGGCCGGGCCGGGCCGCCTGAGGAACGGCAGAGGCGGCGGTGAGGAGGGCGGCTGAAGGGAGCGAGGAGACGGACGGGGGGAGGGGGACGAGGGCCGCACTGCCGGGCTCCGGGGACGGTGACCCTGGGCGCTCAGGCGAGGTCCCGCGGCCGCAGACGAGAAGGCCCCCGCCGGAGGAAGCTGCGCCCCCGCAGCCGCCGGAGCCGCGGCTACTACTGCGAGAGCCGCGCAAAGCCTGGCCTTGGCCTTGGCCTTCTGGTGCTGGGGCTGCCGCCGCTGCGGGGGTTGCTGCTGCGCTTGCTGCTGCCGGGGCCGAGGCTGCCGCACAGAAACGCCAGCTTTCGGTGCCTTCGCTCTCGGTCACACACGTTCACACCCCCGGGAGCCGGGGGAGAGGCGTCCGGGCGATATCGGTATTGAAATTAATAACAAGGTGCAGAGAGTGCGAGAAGAAGGGTTGATTGACGTGGAGGGGCTGGCGGTAGTCAGTCACTCCCCTGAGCGGAGGGGTGGGGTGAGGGGAAGGAGGCGGAGCTCGTTTGCCGCGCCTGGGCCCCGCCTCCTGGGCGCCGTAGTTGGTCCTGTGCGCGTGCGCGCGCGGCGGCCAGGGGTCTTTTCCTTTTTCTCCGTTGCTCTTGCTGTTTTCTTATTAGTTTTTCTTGGCTTGAGTGTCGAGCAGAGCTGGAAAGACGGGTAGGGTATCAAAAACCCACATCCACAAATGCGTGATGGGGCGGGGGCGGGAGGGAGAGACTGGCGAATGGTCCCACCCGGTGTTCGTGCTTGTACTCGGCACTGTTGACTGCGCGTTCGCCGGAGGCTGACAGCAAAGCTGAACGCCGGTCTGGGTGGCTGAGAAGCCAGGTGAGGTGAAGGGACCGAAGGAAATGTTTCCTGACATCTACAGTGGTTTTTGTTTTTTTGTATTTTGTTTTTTACGTGTAATATTTGTAGGTGGCACAGCGAAAGGTAAATAAAAGAACCAGTGACTGCGATAATCACGTCCTGTTTGTGTTCTGATTGCTCCCTTCTCGTGTTAGAATCACGTTTCTTTGGTTGCGGAATAGAAACATCAAAATGTAAACTAGACATATTAATGTTTACTTGATGAATATGACCTAGACATTTTAAGTTTCTAGAGTTTAATTTTGTTTTTGTGGGTCAGCTTCATTCAGCTGTTAGCACCAGCAGTCCAAAAGCAAATCATACCAGCTCTAGAGGCAGAATACTGCTGTTGCAATTTTGCACAATCTATTTCTCAATGCATGCTCCAGGCTTATGTACTTACCAGTGTTGCTCACGGATATATTAGCAGTGTTCAGTTTGAGTTCTTTTTTTCCTACAGGGGTGTTATTTAGCACACTAAGCACGTTGTGTAGGGTTGCAATTAATCTTAGGCCCTATTATTGAATGCAAAAGATCTTCATCTCCTGGGGAAAATGGTGCGGTAAAAATGCAAATCATCATTTAGACAAACCTGATCAGCTGTTAAAAGAGTTCGCCACTGCAGACGAACAATTGCACCACTTTCATCTTTGTTACAGGAAGTGTGAGTGAAGGAGCTGAAGAAGCCCCTTAAGGGCATGAAAGACCTCAGGCTGGTTTGTTTTTCACCTGGGTTAAATTTCCATTTATCTCCCTAGCAACACCACCCCCATACGTAATAGGCGGCGAAATGGCATTAATCCTGAAAGAAGTCCCACCCGTTCCCAACTATCTTGAGTCTAGGCTGACATATAGTGAATAATTATCTTTGGCTTTGTAAGCAACAAAGCCAAACAAGTCACTTCAGGAGCCCAGAATAGTAAACCTGCCTCAACAGCATCTTGCTACAGCATTTCTCCTTGGCACACAAACACTCTTTCCCAAGGAGAAATACTACCAAATGTTGAAGAAAAGAGGGAAATAAACACCTGGAAAATATGAGTCAGACGATGGAATATTCTCACAGATTGAAGTTTCTTCAAGTACCTATAAACTATATAGATTCCTATCCATTTATATACAATAAACAAACATCTATGGACGGTATATTATGTTCCAGACATTGTATTTAGCCTCAGAGATACAAAGATAAGCAAATGTAGTCCCTATTCCTAAATAACTCATAGGGGAAGCAGACACATAAAAAGGGAATTCACAGGACAAACCAGAGATGAGAAAGTATAAAAGTAACACAAAATTAATAGTCAAAATAATGCCCAGGAGGATAAAGCTGATGGCACTGGCATTTTCACTTGAACAGTACAATACCTACCACTTACAGCAGTAGTGACTGTGGTGAGGAAAAAAAGGGGGAGCCTTTGTGGATGTTAAGTAATAACAAATGGTGAGGTTTGCTGTTCCTGAAACTCAGGTTTATATAGGGGATATTAATTGTTGACCTTTAAGTTTTAAATACTAAATGAGTCACCATCCGTTGAAGAATTGCAATTGTGACATTCAGAGTTAAGAATAGAGGATTTTATTATTAAAAGTTCAATCAGCCCTGGCCAGTTTTTTTGGCTCAGCGGTTAGAGCATCGGCCCGTGGACTGGAGAGTACCGGATTCGGTTCCCGCTAAGGGAACATACCTCTGTTGCAGTTTGTCCCCAGCCCCGGTTGGTGTCATGTCAGTGGCATCCACCCCTGTGTGTCTCTCACATTGATATTTCTCTCTTCCTCCCTCTCTCCCTCCCTCTCTATATGAAGATAAATGCAAAAATGTCCTCAGATGAGGATTAAATAAATAAATAAAATAAAATAAATAATAATTTAAAAAGCCCAATCAAATACAGGTTAAATTTATTTATTATTTAAAATTTTTTCTTCTTTATTGATTCCAGAGAGAGAAAGGGAAAGATAGAAACATTGATGCCCCCCACTTGGGATTGGGCCCCTAACCAGGGCTCGTCCCCTGACTGGGAATTGAACTGGCGACCTTTTGGTGCATGGGTTGATGCACAGCCACTGACCCACACCAGCTAGGCCAAATACATGTTAAATTTAATTAATCTCTACTCTCAGGGATGTTTTCTATGCAATAAATAGCAAATGAATTGACTCACTAAAACAAAAGGAAAACATTCCTTTTACATATTATAACTATATCACATTTGCAATGAGATTGAGATTAGAGAAATAATTTTCAAATAGTTTTTGGTGCTGTACAAATGCTGAAAAAATAAATCTTTACTGATGTAAAAACAAAACCTCTCTCCTAAGACTAAATTCAAAAGACATTGAACAAAAGAGTAACACTAAAGCCATTTCTTTTTGTTGTTGTTGTTACAGATGTTTCTCTTTTTTTACCCCATTGACGACCTCATCCCCATCCCCTCCACCCCATCCCTGGCTTTATGGTCCATGTCCATTGGTTATGCGTACATGCACATAAGTTCTGTGGTTTATCTCTTCCCTCCCCCCACCACCCTCTCTTCTGAGGGTTGTCAGTCTGTACCCTACTTCCACATCTCTGGGTCTACCGTATTCCTCAGACTGTTATGCTCATTATATTCACAAATAAGTGAGATCATGTGGTGTTTGTCTTTTTTTGCTTGGCTTGTTTCACTTAGGATAATACTTTCCAGGTCCCTCCATGTCATCTCAAAGGATAAGAGATCTTTCTTCCTGACAGCTGCATAGTACTCCATTATGTACATATAGCACAGCTTTTTTATCCATTCGTCTACTAATGGACACTTGGGCTGTTTCCAAATCTTAGCTATTGTAAATAGTGCTGCTATGAACATGGGGGCACATATATTCTTTCTGATTGGTGTTTCAGGCTTCTTAGGATATATTTCTAGAAGTGGGATCACTGGGTCAAATGGCAATTCAATTTTTAATTTTTTGAGGTAACACGATAGTGGCTGCACCAGTCTGCATTCCCACCAGCAGTACACTAGAGTCCCCTTTTCTCCACACCCTCGCCAACACTTGTTGTTTTATGATTTGTTGATGGCAGCCATTCTGACAGGTGTGAGGTGATACCTCATTGTTGTTTTAATTTGCATCTCTCTGATAATTAGTGATGTTGAGCTTTGTTTCATATGTCTCTTGGCCATTTGTATGTCCTGTTTGGAGAGGTGTCTATTCAGCTCCTCTGCCCATTTTTTAATTCGGTTCTTTGTCTTCCTTTTGTGGAGTTGTATGAGCACTCTATATATTTGGGAAATTAACCCCTTATCTGATGTATCATTGGCAATGATGTTCTCCCATACAGTGGATTGCCTTTTCATTTTGGTGGTTGTTTCTTTTGCTGTGCAGAGCTTTTTAGTTTGATGTAGTCCCACGTGTTCATTTTTCCCTTTGTTTCTGTTGCCTTAGGTGATGTCTCAGTGAAAATTCTGCTGTGTATGATGTCTGAAATTTTGTTGCCTACATTTTCTTCTAGGATTTTTATTGATTTACGGGTCACATTTAAGTCTTTTATCCATTTTGAGTTTTTTGTGTGTGTATGGTTTAAGTTGATGGCCTAGTTTCATTTTTTTGCATGTAGCTGTCTAATTTTCCCAACACCATTTATTAAAGAGGCTGTCTTTACTCCATTGTATGCTCTTGCCACCTTTGTCAAATATTAATTGAGCATAATGTTTTGGGTCCATTTCTGGGTTCTCTGTTCTGTTCCACTGGTCTTTATGCCTGTTCTTGTGCCAGTACCAGGCTGTCTTGATTACAGTAGCTTTGTAGTATAACCTGATATCTGGTATTGTGATCCCACCTACTTTGTCCTTCTTTTTCAAAATTGCTATGGCTATTCGGGGTCTTTTTGGGTTCCCTATAAACTTTTGAATTATTTGTTCTAATTCTGTGAAATATGTCGTTGGTATTTTGATGGGGATTGCACTGAATCTATAGATTGCTTTGGGTAGTATGGACATTTTAATGATGTTAATTCTTCCAATCCATGAACAAGGTATGTGCTTCCACATTTTTAGATCTTCCTCTATTTCTTTTTTCAATGACCTGTAGTTTTTTGGGAAGAGGTCCTTTACTTCTTTGGCTAAGTTTATTCCTAGGTATCTTAATTTTTTTGCCGTGATTATAAATGGGATTATTCTTTCAGTTTCTCTTTCTGTCAGTTCATCATTGGTGTATAGGAATGCCGTCAAATTTCTTGACGTTAATTTTGTATTGGGCTACTTTGCCAAATTCATTTATTGTCTAGTAGGTTTTTGATGGAGTGTTTAGGGTTTTCTATGTATACTATCATGTCATCTGCAAATAATGACAGTTTCACTTTCTCCTTTCCAATTTGGATCCCTCTTATTTTTAGTTCATGTCTGATTGCCATGGCTACGACTTCCACCAGTGCTATGTTAAATAAGAGTGGTGAAAGTGGGCATTCCTGTCTTGTTCCTGTTCATAAGGGAAATGCTTTTATTTATTTATTTTTATCCTCACCCAAGGACATTTTTCCATTTTTTGTTCAGATAGAGTGGGAGGGAGAGAGAGGAAGAGAGAAGGAGAGAGAAACATCAACAGGAGAGAGAAACATCAACAGGAGAGAGAAACATCAACGTGAAAGGGACACATCGAGTGGCTGCCACCCACATGACCAACCAGGGCCGGGGACAAACTGCAACAAAGTACGGGCCCTTTAGCGGGAACCAAACCAGGGTCTCTCTGGACCGCAGGCTGACACTCTAACCACTGAACCAAACCGGCCAGGGCAAGGAAATGCTTTTAGTTTCTGCCCATTGAGTATGATGTTGGCTGTAGGTCTTTCATATACGGCCTTTATTATGTCGAAATATGATCCCTCAAATCCCACATTGCTGAGCGTTTTTATCAGACATGGATGCTGGATTTTATCGAAGGCTTTTTCGGCATCTATTGATATGATTATGTGGTTTTTATTCTTCATTTTATTTATTTGGTGTATCACATCTATTGATTTGCGAATATTGTACCAGCCTTGCATCCCTGGGATGAATCCCACTTGGTCATGGTGAATAATTTTTTTGATGTGTTGCTGGATCCGATTTGCTAGTATTTTGTTCAAGATTTTGGTATCTATGCTCATCAGGGATAATGGCCTGTGGTTTTCTTTCTTTGTAGTCTCTTTTTGTGGTTTTGTAATTAGAATTATGCTGGCCGCATAAAACGAGATTGGAAGTCTTCCTTCTTCTTGAATTTTTTGAAATAGTTTGAGGAGAATGGGTGTTAGTTCTTTTTTGAATGTTTGGTAAAACTCCCCATGAAGCCATCTGGGCCTGGGCTTTTATTTGCTGGGAGAGTCTTGATTACCTCTTCAATTTCCTTAGTTGTTATTGGTCTGTTCAAATTTTCTGTCTCTTCCTGGTCCAGTTTTGGGAGACTGTGTTTCCAAAAATTGGTCCATTTTGCTTAGATTGTCGAATTTGTTGCCATATAATTATTCATAATAGTTTTTAAGGATCTTCTGTATTTCTATAGTGCCAGTTGTTAGACTCTTTCATTTCTGATTTTGTTTTTTTGGGTTCTCTCTTTTTGTTTCTTGGTGAGTCTACCTAAGGGTCCATCAATCTTATTTATCATTTCGAAAAACCAGCTCTTTGTTCCATTGATCCTTTGAGTTTTTTCATTTTTTTATTTTTTGGTCTCTATGTCATTTATTTCTGC